TCCTCCGCCATCCCCTTTTCCTTTTGCCTTCTATTTTCCCCATCAGGGTCTTTTCCAGTGAATCCTGTTTTCTCATTATGTGGTCAAAGTATTTAAGCTTCAGCTTCAGTATTTGACCTTCCAGTAAGTAGCCTGAATTAATTTCTTTATGTATTGATTGATTTGACCTCCTTGCTGTCCAAGGGACTCTAAAAGTCTTTTCTAGCATCATAATTTGAAAGCATTGATTCGGTGGTGCTCAGCTTTCCTTATAGTCCACCTCTCACAGCCATGCATTCCTACTGTAAAAACCAGTTTGGGGGCAGCTAGGTGGCACAGTGGGTAGAGCACTGGCCCTGGAGTCAGGAGAACCTGAGTTCAAATCTGGCCTCAGACACATAATCCTTCCTAGCTGTGTGATTTTGGGCAAGTCACTTAACCCCACTTGCCTCACTAAAAAAAAAAAAACCCACCAGTTTTGACTATGTGGATCTTTGTCAGCAAGGTGATGTCTCTGCTTTTTAGTTTGCTGTCCAGATTTGCCATAGCTTTCCTTCCGAGGAGCAAGTGTCTTTTAATTTTCTGGCTGCAGTTACTGTCTGCATTGATCTTTGAGCCCAAGAATATAAAATCTGATTGCTTCCATTTCTTCCTCTGTTTGCCAGGAAGTGATGGGACCAGTTGCCAAGATCTTAGTTTTTTGATGTTAAGCTTCAAGCCACCATTTACACTCTTCTTTCATCCTCATCAGGAGGCCCAGCTCTTAATCAGAGACTTAACAAAGGAGTAGGGAATGGGAGATAATGAAGGGTTTTGAAGTATCAAATGGGAAAAGAGAATGGTCCCTCTAACTAAAAGTAGGAGGTGAGGGCCTCTGCTGAATAAGAACAGATATAGGATGTATGGAAAGAATGCTTGAAAGAGCTGTTATGAAGAAGGTGATAAGGTGTTTGTTGTTTTTCGGTTGAGTCCAACTCTGTGATCCTATTTAGAGTTTTCTTGGCAAAGATATTGGAGTGATTTGCCATTTCCATCTCCAGATCATTTTACAGATTAGGAAACTGAGGCAAACAGTGTTAAGTGACTTACCCAGGGTCACATAGCTAGTAAATGTCTTGAGGCCGGATTTGAATTCATAAAGATGAGTCTTCCTGACTCCAAGTCTGGTACTCTATCCACTGAACTGCCTAGCTGCCCTTGATAATAAGGTACAGGGAAGAATAAAAGGATTTCTGTGCAGTGTGGAGGCCCATGAGATTAAATAGCATACATTGAAATTAGATGCATAAATTTTCAGTGAATGTATTGATCCTGGCTGTATTACTTTCCTCAGCAGTGTTCAGCAGCACAAGAATGGGAACAAAGAAGTTAGGTGGTAGGGGTTATCCAGGATTGGAATTTGAAAAGCTGTGGCTGGCAATAGAACAAGAAGACAAGGCATTCAGGGACAATTGATAGTATACAGTTGTTGGCCAAGACTGTTAAGTCAGGGAAGGGAGGTCAGAGCAGGAATGATACACTGGGAGAACCAAGAAGCATTGAGAGATTCTAGAGATCAAGACAGTCAAGAATTCAAGACAATTCTCTTTAAAGATAAGTTTTTAAAATTTTGTTTTGTTTTGTTTTTATAAGGCAGTGGTATTGAGTGACTTGCTCAGGGTCACACAGCTAGTAAGTGTCAAGTATGTGAGGCCAGATTTGAACTCAGGTCCTCCTGACTCCAGGGCCAGTACTCTATCCACTTCGGTACCTAGCTGCCCCAAGTTTTTAAAATTGTAGAAGTGTATTTGATCATGTGAAACACTGTTCCTTTCTTGTATGAATATTATGAGTAGAACATTCCTCTTTCTTAACTTTGTAGTTTTAAAGAATGTCTTAGCTCCTCCTTTGCAATTATTTACAGCTTCAACTAGTTAACTAGCTCACCATAAGTTGTTTTGTAAAATGCAAGAATAAAAAATTTGCAATCTATACTCAACAGAGTTTCATTGAGAACCTTCCACCTTCTACTGCTCCATTCCTTTATGACCTTTCTTCAGTAAACTCCTATGGATCATCATTTTGACCTCCAGGATCAAAAATAGACTTTTTGACATTTAGAGCTCTCCAGCCTGGTACCCTCCTACCCCTTTGGTCTTCTTGCACTTTTTTCTCTGTGATCCAGTGACACTAGCCTCCTTGGCTCTTGCTCCTAGCACAAGACAGTTCCATCTCCAGAGTGGAGATTTCACTGACTACTTCCTATGGCTGGAATACTGTTCCTCCTTACCTATGTCCCTTGGCTTCCCTGCCTTCAGGTATCAGCTAAAATCCCAATTTCTCTGGGAAGCCTTTCTTGATCCCTGTTAATGTTAGTGCCTTCCCTCTATCATCTCCAATTTTTGTTTTACCTGGGGTTGATTTTTTGTTTTGTTTTTGTATGCTCTCTTTTCCATTGGACTCTTGAGTTCCTTGAGGCCAGGGACTATCTTTTACCTTTTTTATATCCCCAGCTATTAGCACAAAGCCTGGCATATAGAAGGCACTTAATTATTGACTGATTTTTAGGTAATGTCTTCCTGTTACCCAAAGGCCCAGGTTTTGAAGTATCTGCAGCAGAGCTAGGGTGTCAGGCAGGACCTACTTGCCTAAGCTTTGACCTTAGATAGGGACTGCTACCTAAGTAAGGATGAGCTCCACTTAAAGTATTATAAGGTAGGCTGTATTCTAAATCTTTGTTATTAAAAAAAAAGTTTTATATTGAGGGGCTAGTATTGATTTCATTATATAAGCAGACTTCATTTGCTAAAATGACTGGGAACTTTTTTGAAACTTTCCCTTCCTTTTTACCCCCCATTTAAAAAGAAAATATATAATTGATGCAATTTGTCTTTAATAATCATTTCCATTCTTGCTTCTCTAGACTGAATACTCTATTTGTGTCAAAGAAAAACCATTTTAAACAAAAACATCTTAAACAGTAACCACATTTGACAATGTATCTAATGTTTGCAATATTTCCCCTGTCTTTACCACAAGGGCGAAGATATGTTTCATTACCTGTTCTGTGGGAATGATTTTTTGTGAACTTTTTGGTTACTTGTAGTCATTATGTATATTATATTCTCCTGTCTACTTATTTCATTCTTCATTGTTTTGTACAAACATTTCTCTGAATTTTTCATATTCACCATTTCTTCTTAACATTTGTTGTTAATAATATTCCATTCCATCAATGTACCACATTTTGTTTAGCCATTTTCCCGAGTCAGTAGGTATTTACTTTGTTTACATTTCTTTGCTACCACACAAAATGCTGTTGTGAATGTGGGTAGACCTTTCTGTCTTTGACTTTGACCTCTTTGGTGGGCTACAGTTTACAATTCTTTGGAGAACTGATCATATTCTTTGGCCAGTTATGTATTAGGGAATAGTTCTTGGTGCTTTTTGTTTTGGAGACTTGAATGTTGATGTTTGGTGCAAAGAATTTTTTATTCTACAGTTTCACTTCTAATTTTACCTTCCTTGATCTTATTTATGCAAAAACTTTTTACATTTTACAGTTATCTTTTTTCTTGGAATCTCTTCCATCCTTTGTTGGGAGTTCTCTACTTTGCTGTAGTTGTGTAAGGTTCCTAAACTGTTCTCTTCGAAATTTTAGGTGTTACTTTTTGTGTTTATATTGAATATTCGTATTGATCATACTGTGTTAACAGTATAAGTGTTGGGCTACACCTAATTTCTACCAAATTGCTATCTAATTTTTTTCTGCCAGTTATTGTCAGAATGGGAATAGTTCCCTCAATAATTCATGTTTTGGGGTACATTAAATTTTAGGTTACTGCTTTATAATTTTCTCTATTATTTCCTTTGCGATTCTAGCTCATTTGTTCATTAGTTCTCAGAAGTATCCCTTTGGTATATGAATACACTAAAGCTACAAGACAATTTAGATAACTAGTTCATTTTTACTATGCTAGCATGGCCCAATTCTAATGAGTCAATCTCTCTCAAATTACTTGTCTTCCTGAACTTCTATAAAGTGGGTTGTTTGTTGTTGTTGTTGTTGTATTTTATGTAAACTTTGCATCTTCCATGTTTTATAATTGCTTTTTTAAGTGAAGTTTCTCATTTCTAGGTTTTATTAGTACTATACAGAAGTACTGGTGATTTTTGCAGATGTTTTTCATTTGGCTACCTCAAGTTATTTTATTTTAATTGTTTATAATAAAATTAGTTTATTTGCTGATTTTCTAAGTATACCATCATGTCATTTGCAAATAAAGAATATTTATGTCTTTAAATATCAGTGAATATTAATTATTTTCCTAATGTTGAATCATCTGTGAATCTCTGGTATGAATCCATCTTGGTTATAGTGAATTATTTTCTGTTTTCTTTTTATTTCCTGAATAATGGTTGTAATCTTGTGAGAATTTTATTTAAAATCCTAGTCAATTTGAATACATCCTTTAAAGTTCTACTAGTGGTACACATGTGTTTATTACTAGTAATAAGCACAAAAATCAAAACCAGAAATGATTAGATCTTGGTTTTGAATAATAACTCTATTCAAAAGCATTTATTTATTAAGCACCTACTATGTGCCAGTGCACTATGCTAGGCTCCAGGGATGCCAAAGATACAAGATAGTTATAAACATAAAAGGAGGAGAGAATCTGGTTCTTACTTGGGAATTGCTCCCCCCCCCCATCCTGCTTAACAAGTCTGCTATAAAGTAACCTTTTAAAAATAAAATTTAAAAATGTTTGTTTAGCTGTGAAGCCAGAGCAGAGGGGTGTTTAGCTTCTGCAAGTAGACCATAACGTACGTGTGTGTGTGTGTGTAAATATTACCTATGGAAATTTGAGGTGCTTTTTCAATATTCCCTTTATATCATTAGGCAGATGTGTGTATGTGAATTTTGTGGGCTTTTTTTAAAATGCTTAAATTTTTTTTTCTTGGTCTTTTCCCAGTATTTTAGATAATAGAAGGAGTTTAATTTCTTTTTCTGCCAACTTTTCTTTTTTTGTCCTTCCAAGAACACGTCCTAGAGATGATATTCTTAGCAGACGAGAGAGATCAAAAGATGTCAGTCCTATTAGTAGATGGTCTCCAACTAGAAGAAGATCAAGTAGGTCTCCTATCCGTAGGAGATCTCGTTCACCACTCAGGCGAAGCAGAACTCCAAGGAGGAGAAGCAGGTCTCCAAGAAGAAGGTAAAAATTCAGTTCAGAATAATTTCTTTCTCTGGAAATGGTAGCATGCTAACCATATGTTACAGGAATGGATAAATTTTTACTTAATGTAATCTTTGTGGAATGTTTCCTATTGAAAGATTGTAACAGTTACTATCATTCTTTTCATGAGTATTCTTTGTTCTGTGTTAATTTAATTTAAAAAATTCTGTCAGAGTTCCTAGGTATGATAGCACAAATCTGTAATCCCAGGTACTAGGTAGGCTGAGGATGATGGATCTCTTGACCTTGGGAGTACTGAGTTGCAGTAGCTATGCAGATTGGGTGTGCACTGTTTGGTATTAATATAGGCAGCTAGGTTGCCCTGTGGATAGAATGGTACATCTGGAGTCAGGAAAACCTCAGTCCAAATTTGGCTTCATACACTTACTCACCTGTGTGACCCTGGGCAAGTCACTTAACCTCCTTCTGCCTCAGTTTTTTTCTTTTGCAAAATAGAGATAATAATAGCATCTACTTCCCAGGATTGTTGTGAGAATAAAACAAGATGTTTGTAAAGTACTTTATAAATATTGACTATTAATATGGTGAGTTCCCAGGAGCAGGGAGCCACCAGGTTGCCTAAGGAGGGTCAAAGCAGAGCAGGTCAAAGCCCCTGTACCCATCATTAATGGAATCAGACTCACAAATAATGCCTGAACTTTTGTGGGCAAGCTAGGGAGACCCAATTTTTGTTGTTGTTGTTTTGTTAGGCAGTGGGGTTAAGTGACTTGCCCAGGGTCACACAGCTAGTAAGTGTTATGTTTCTGAGGCCAGATCTGAACACAGGTCCTTCTGAATCCAGGGCCAGTGCTCTATCCGCTGCGCTACCTACTTGCCCCCGGGAGACTCAATTTTGAAAAAAATAAAATTAATGCATCACTCAGTTGTGCAGTAAAGCGTGATTGATTAAAAACTTAAGCATTTTTTCCCCTTCACTATATTTTAGGGGTTTATTCAGAAATGAAAACTTTTATGTCATTGAGTTAGTCATTCTTCATAGTCACTCTGCCTTGTGGCAGTGTGTCTGTCTCACTGTCATCAAATCATTTTACTGCTTTAAGTCTTAGTTTCCTCATCTCTCAGAGGGGCTATAGCCTTGCTTATATAGCTGAGGTTCAAATGAGATGAGATATCTATCTATCTATCTATCTATCTATAGATAGATAGATAGATATATCTATATATAGATATAGATATATATATATAAAGAAACTTATGAACTTTTAAAGCAGTATTTAAGGCTTAGTTCTTAATATCACTAGCATTTACGATACTGTGGTAATGATGTTACTTACAGGATCTGCAAGATCTTTAGTCATTAATGAGTCAATGATGAATTAGCCAGTATTTGTTAAGTAGCTATAGTGTTACACAATTTCGGTGTACTAGAACAATGTTGGGCACAAAGAGTTTACTGTGAAGTTGAGACACACGTGAAACAATTAGAGAACAGAATCATAAAGTGCCACATTGTACTTATTTTCAAATGAATAAGTTGCCTATATTTTCTTCAATTATTTTTTCCTCAACAGAGATAGAGGTAGGCGGAGTAGATCTCGACTTCGACGGAGGTCTCGATCGAGGGGTGGTCGTAGGCGCAGAAGCAGAAGCAAAGTAAAGGAAGATAAATTTAAAGGAAGCCTTTCTGAAGGAATGAAAGTTGAACAGGAGTCATCATCTGATGATAAGTAAGGATGGAACTCTTCTGGAATTATCTATTTTTATCAGAGTTTAAAGGAAATATTACTTGGTACACCAGTTTCTTAGCAATCATTTTTGCTAGCTGAACATGTCATGACCATGTTCTATGGGTTGTTTTTTTTTTTTTGGTGGGTTTTGGTCTTTGTTTTTTTGGCTCAACAAAAATTAGCCTTTAAAGTATTTAATAAGCATAACCTTTTTTATTTCCCTTTGTTAATGTCAGTGTGATGGTGAGGGTAAGGGGTTTTCCTTTAATTTTTTTTTCTTAGTTAACCAAAAAAAGGTTTCTCTTCACCTACCACCCTCCCCACCCCCACCCCACCCCTGTCATTGTGAAGAAAACCAAAACCCTTGTAACACACATTGTGGACAAAATTCCTGTACTGATCATGTCCCAAAAATACACATCTCATTCTGCAGCCTGAGTCCTCTATCAGGTGGTGGGTAGCATTCTTCATCATTAGTCCTCTGTGGTCTGGAGGATGGTCATTGCATCAATTAGAGTTCTTAAGTCTTTCCATGTTTGTCTTTTAAAAACATTGTTATTGTATAAGTTCTACTGGTTCTTCTCATTTAACTTTTATCAGTTTTATACAAATTTTCTCTGGTTTATATGAAAAAAAATCTGATCATTTTTTGTGATACATTTTTTGTATTCTATTACATTCATATACCATAATTTGTTCAGCTGGTTCCCAATTGATGGTCACCCACTTAGTTTCTATTCTTTGCTGCTGTTGCAGATATGTGCATGTATATTTGTATTCTTAGTGGTATCACTAAGGTATGCACAATTTAGTAACTTTGGGGGGTGTAGTTCCAAATTGCTTTCTAGAATGGCTGGATCAGTTCACTCTCCAACAGCAGTGCATTAATTTGCCTATTTTCCCTCCTCCCTCCCCCCCAATTTGTCAGTGTGGTTGGTGTAAGGTGAAACCTCTTTGCTTTAATTTGCATTTCCCTAATTATTAGTCTATGGGGCATTTTTTTCTATAGAGTCATTCTGATATAATGAGAGAAGGCTAGAGAGAAGGCCTCAGAGTCATGAGCTTCCTCTTCTCTACATCTCATCCCTATGTCATCTCCCAGTTGTTCATCCTTTGCTTCCTTTGAAGAGGAGTTGGCCATAATATCTCTTAGGATTTTCCACTCTTTTCTACTCATATCTTCTACCCTAGTCTAGGTCCTGATTGCCTCTCTCTCTTGGACTATTGAAATAGTTTCCTGAGTGGCCTGTTTGTTTCTAGTCTCTCTCCATTACAGTCTGTCATTCACAAGTCTGAAGACATAGGTCTGACCTTGTCACTTCTCTGCTAAGAAATACTCTGTGGCTTCCTCTTGCCTGTGGGACAAAATATAAACTCCTTATCATTGGCATTTAAAGCCTTCCACAATTTGTCTCCAGCTGATCTTTCCAGACTTATTTTTTACTCAATACCAAAGCTAGACTGGTCACACTTGCATATAATTTCCTCTCCCACCTGTGCAAAGCCAGGGCTCTTGCCTTGGTTCTTTCCCACGTACTCCCTTCTAAACCTCCATATCTTAGAATATTTGGTTTCTTTCAAAGCTCAGGTAGGATGCCACCTTGGAAAAATTTCTCCAGATTATGTGTCTGTGTTATAGATCTCTTCTTTCTCTATCTGCGCCCCCACCCCCCCAAAAGAAATACAATGTTTTGATAATTTTTCCAAGATTTGTGAAGGCCACACTTTAAAAATAGTTAATAAGAAACAAAATTATAAAATTTATTCTTTCAGCCTAGAAGACTTTGATGTTGAAGAAGAAGATGAAGAAGCCCTAATAGAGCAGAGAAGAATCCAAAGGCAGGCAATTGTTCAGGTATGTGCTTATGAATGAAATGGTATATATGAAGAAGCCCAGGTAATTTCAAAAATTCAAGTAAATAAACATTTTTAAAGTGCCTAGTATCTTTTAAATATAAGCCTCTACATATTTAAAATTATCACTACCCTAAGAAACTGAAAATCTTTATTTTGACAAAGCACTAATGTAGTAGCAATGTACAGTCGGGGCTTTGAGTGGAGAAACTGACATTTTAAATTATGTTAGAGTTGTATTGTTTTCATTAGGTCCTTCTATGATTTTTTTTCCTTCAGATTTATACAATTCTAATCCAAGCCATCTGCTCCCCAGTGAGTTACTTAAACTGGTTCTCCCTACTAAATCACAAGCTGGAGGTATTACAGTTTTATTTTAAATTGCCCAAAAAAAGGCTCACAGAAAAAAATAATATGCAAATTGCTCGAAACTGGTAATTTAACAAACAAAATGCCTGCCTGCTACAATGAGAAAGTTATGAAAGGTTTGCAGTTTAGTTACATTAAGAAATATTTTAGGGGGCAGCTAGGTGGTGCAGTGGATAGAGCTCCGGCCTTGGAATCAGGAGGATCTGAGTTCAAACTGTACCTCAGCCACTTGACACTTACTAGCTGTGTGACCCTGGGCAAGTCACTTAACCCCAATTGCCTCACCCCCCAAAAAAATTTTTTTTAGAAAAGTTTTAGTAGTCTTATAACCTTTGCTGTCTTAAAGTGGAATATCTCAAGAACTCTTAAGACTTTGGTCCAAATATAGGCCACACTTAATCTCTAGCATGTACCTTTGTACATACCTGAGTACAGCCGAAAGTAGAGAAGAAAATAACAATGAAATTGGTAGGTGTTTTCATAATAACAGTTAACAAAACTTACTTATTTGAATTAAAAAAGAAAACTGAGCAAGTTTTAAAAGTCACATTTAAATACCAGTGTTCGTATGCAATTGTTCTTCCTTTTTGAGAGAGCCAGTCTTTTAGAATATAAGCTATACCAGTAAAGCATTATAATTCCTTATATTACTGAGAAAATTGTATGTCTCTGTATTTCACAATTATGCTGTGACCAGTAAGGGTTTGATGCCTTCATTAGTCACAATTTGCCAAGTGCTATATTGAAATTAATTTCTAATCATAGGTGGTATGAAATGGTAATCCTCAAAAGAATGCCATGCCTTCTAGAGAATCCCTGTTGATACTGGCTTCTGGAATGTCCTTTATAAAATGTGGAAATGCCTTTTCTTAAGGCCTGCTTGTGTGTAGTGTCTAGCAGACATGACAGAGGGCATGTGGATGAAGGGTGAGCTTTTTGAAAAGACATACATGAAAGTAAAAAAATGGAATTGAAAGAGGAAAGATCAGAGCAGTAATAGCAATTCAACTATCACAGGGTCCACCCACACCTGACCCAGGCTAGGATCAGGCTATTGATTTAAAGTTGGGGTGGGAGAGTAGTGCTGGGAATTTGCGGTAGAAGAATTAGAGGCACACATTGGCAAAGGAAGAAAGAGTGATAGCACAGTGCATACAACCAGTAGTCTGGTATGTGTCTGTATAGGCAGGAACCACAATCATGGGAGAAACTTGGTTTACTAGTATAATACCTGGTACAGTGTTTGTGATAACTGGTATCTTTTGTCTGCATTAGCCATAGTCATAGCTCTATAAATAGTAGCAGAGACTTTTCTAACTTCATGTAAGACTTACTGGCTTAACTAATTTTCTAGGTTTGGAGTTGTAAGAAATAAAGCTTAATATGTTCAAAAGCAAGCATACATTTTACTGAAAGTAACACATTGAATTCCTATTGCAGAAGTATAAATACCTTGCTGAGGACAGCAATATGTCTATGCCATCTGAGCCAAGCAGCCCTCAGAGTAGTACTCGAACACGTTCACCCTCCCCTGATGACATTTTAGAACGAGTTGCTGCTGATGTTAAAGAATATGAAAGGGAAAATGTTGATACATTTGAGGCTTCTGTAAAAGCCAAACACAATCTTATGACAGTTGAACAAAATAATGGTAAGTAAATAAAGTGGTATTTTTTAATCATATAATTGAATTATTAATACCATAATTTAGTCATGAGAAAAGATTAATTTTAGGGCTTATGGGTATGCAGAAAAAAACTTTTGACATTTCTTGCTCAATACAATGTTACACTGCATTACTGTGAACATTTTTAAAAAATAATGTTATTGATAGCTTTTTGTTTTATTTATATTCACCTTTATTTCACCCTCTACTATCTAGTGTGAGCCCGCCCTCATAACAGAAATTTAAAAAGAGAAAAAGAAATTAATCAGAACTCACCAACACATAAACCAAGTCTAACAGTATGTCTTCTACACAAATAGGTCCCTCACCTCTGCAGAGAGAGCGAGGTGCAGTTTCTCATTCCTTCTTTGAGGCCAAACTTGATAATTATAACCACAAAGTATTCAATTGCATTTGTTCTTTCCATTTACATTGTTGTTATACATAATTTTCCTGGTTCTACTTCATGTATCATATTCATATTAAGCATAGTAATAATCATGTGCCACATTTTTTTATTCCTTTCTCCATTCATTGGATATGTCCTTTATTTCTATATCTTTGCTCCCACAAAAAGTTCTACTATGGATATTTTGGTATATATGGGACTTTCTTTTTGTCTTTAACCTCCTTAGGGCATATATCTAGCAGTGGAATCTCTGGGTCAAAGGGTATGGACATTTTAGTCACTTCTTATTCAATGTAATTTTAAGAAAGAAACTTGTTCTATTAAAAATGTTGCTTATTTGGCATCCAGCATATTTACTATTTTAAACAAGAAAATGATGAAAATAGAGAACTTTCAAGGGAAATTGGTAGGGGAAACCTGGATTATGACCATTATTCATTAGGGTTTTGTGCAATACATCTATAAAACACTTAAATAAAGATTATGTACTCTCATAAGTGTTTAAAAAGATTTCAGAAATGCTGTATAGTGGAAGTCCTTTATTAGAATACATTTTGTATTGCCTTTAGGATAATTACTGTTGAATTGTTCTGTGTTTTCCTTTTGTTATCTGTTCATGATAGTCCAAATGATTGATATGAATTTCCATTAAGGTTCAACTCAGAAGAAGCTATTGGCTCCTGACATGTTCACCGAATCAGATGATATGTTTGCTGCATATTTTGATGTAGGTAATTTTAGAATTAGTTTGTTTTCCAGCTTATACAGATAGTACTATTGCATATTGATTGATATGACTGCAAGAAAAAGTTGTGATAGGTTGATCACCCAATGAAAATTAATAGTGTAATAGTAATAATATTAAAAAGCACAAGTCTGGGATCTGAAAATGTAGTAGAGGTTTGTAAAGCAGCATGGTCAACATTTGGCTTGGACCTTTATTTTAAAAAGTGTTCAGTTTTTGCCTCTAGATTGTCATGTCCTTCATCCAAGTATTAGAGGCTAAACACTAAAATGTTTCACTGTCTTATAAAACCAGGAACTATAATGAAGAGTACCTTACAGAAGTATCTGGTGGCAAGTAAAGATAAATGTGAAAAATACCAAGTTTTTGGAATCAAAATGGAAGGGCACAAGATGTCCCAATGCTGTTCAGGGACCCCAAACAGTAAATAGCTGAAATAATTCATCACTTTAAAATTTTTTTTGAAAGTAGTACCTACATATTATGAAAGTAGTTTGAATAAAAGTTAAATGATACAGGTAACAAATGCCCCCCACCTATTATTAATTTAGATGGCTATTGCTGGGTGACTGGATGAAGAGTAAAAAAACTAGGTCATCTTTATTTTTCTTTTTCCCTAAGGCATATATAATCAGTGTGACTCATAACATGTGTAAAAAGGAATTGTTGGAACAAAGGATAATATGTAATACTATAATTTACAAAGTACTTTCCATACATTAATCCCATTTAAATCTCACAGTTTCTCTTTAAGGGAGGGAGTATAAGCATTAGCTCTGTTTAAAGATGAGGAAATTGAGGTACTTTGAGGTAAAATGACATACTTTCCTGTGGAGATCACAAGTGGCATGGCCAGGATTTGAACCCTTGTCTTGAGACACCAAAATACAGTGTACTTTCCACTCTACCACATTGCCTCCCAAGAAGTACTTGACTCTGGAGTATGAAATTTGAAATCAAGAGAGAATATCTTTCATATCAAATCTTTATTTACATTAACCAGTACTATTTTATCCAGTAAGATGCCTGGCACATAGTAGGTGTTTAATAAATATTGATCGATTGATTTCCCCCCCCCATTCCCTTATTTGAAGAGTCTTAATAAAACAGTGTAGAGAAGCTAATTAGATAACTGAGGTCGCTTTTGGTTTTAATATACTTGCCATGTATGTCTATCAAGAAGTCTATCAATGACACAGTATAGTTATCTGTCTTTACTGTCATCATCTCTTAATTGCTTTTGAAGATATTTAAATTGTCCCTTAGTTTAACTGTAGTTTTTTGCTAGGGGAGATTATTCTTCTAAATATCTGCAGTATTAATCCACGTTCCATACCTACCACAAATGCCAAGTTAATTTTAGCATTACTTTGAAAATTGTCACATAGTAAAAAATCAAAGTCCATCTTATTCTGAGCTTTCTTAATGAAAATGCTAAAATGGTGTTATTTGGGAAGACTTCAGTGACTCCTTTACTTATTCAGAAATGAGTTAGACAGCTCATTGTCATCTGTTCTTTCAGAGTGCTCGTCTTCGAGCTGCTGGCATTGGAAAAGATTTCAAAGAGAATCCCAATCTCAGGGATAATTGGACTGATGCAGAAGGCTATTATCGTAAGTGTATATTTCTTACTTTAGAGTTGTATGTAAGGTTTTTGCCACTTTTAAAAGCATGTATGTTGTTGTATGCTAAAGACATTTTTTTAAGTCTATGAAAATAATAACACGGTGCCATTACTTAAAAAGTGGTGTATCCAGCAGCTCCCTGAATCCAAACTATGTATTCAGTTAAGCTGCTTAGAGGTGTGTCACAAATTGAAGTGAATTTAAACAGTTAATATGAAATTTAAAATCTATCCAAAGATATTTTCAGCCATAAGATCTACCACGAAGGCTATGTCCACATGCTTGTCTTGATCTGAAACTAAGAAATGCAATGTGCACGGAACTTGGATGCCAATCATGCAGTGTTTGCCATCAAGACTACCCATGTAACCACTTCAGTGAGCACATTTCTTCACTACTTAATATTCAGAGTCATCAACAATTACTAGAACATTTCATGGAGTGGGCTGAAGTGGGCTGCAGCCTCTAACTTCATTTATGAGTGTGTGACCAGTGGCAGCACAGTTTTGGTTCTTATTGTTCTTCACAAAACCTAGTGCATAGCAAATGTGACACAATTTTTAAGTGACAGCATTGTGTTTTTTTATGTTATATTTTATTTGTTTATGAGTACTCTGTTATGATCAATTCTGTCTTAACAATTTGTCTTTTAGGTGTTAATATAGGTGAAGTCCTTGATAAACGTTACAATGTGTATGGCTACACTGGCCAAGGTGTCTTCAGTAATGTAGTAAGAGCCAGAGATATGGCAAGAGCAAACCAGGAAGTGGCAGTAAAAATCATCAGGAACAATGAGCTTATGTAAGTTATTTTATAAGTTTACATTATGATGTGACAAAAATACCCATGATTGGGGCAGCTAGGGGATGCAATGGATAGAGCACTGGCCCTGGATTCAGGAGGACCTGAGTTCAAATTTGACCTTAGACAGTTATAACACTTACTAGCTGTGTGACCCTGGGCAAGTCACTTAACCCCATTGCCTAGCCAAAAAAAAAATACTCATGATTGAAACTGTTTATCCTCCATTTAGTCAGTTTTGACTTTTGATACAGATTCCACTAAATGTATAGGATTTGGCTACACAGTTAATGGAACCACTTTCCTTTTCTGGCTCAAAGAATTGGTTCATTTTATTTATTAAGAAACTTCTGTATGTATGACACTTGGGGGTATGTCAGATGTATTAGACATAATTTGTGATTTCAAAGGTTAGTCTGGTAAGCTAGAGCAGAAAAAAGATACAAATAATGATAATATAATGTAAGAGATTATAAATCTTGCTGAATTCTAAAGTTGGACCTGGTGTTTTAATCATATCCTGAATGGAGAAACACCCACCTTGATTACATAATGATTACTTGTAGGTTTTGTCTGTATTTTGCCTGTTTTGCTTTTCCTAAGAATCAGTAGTGTTGAGAAAAGGCATCGATTGATTCTAAGATTTTATCTGTTAGTCATGACAGTTTAATATGGTCACGTTTGGAGGACTCATTGTATATTTATTTATATCTATATATCTATATCTATATATCTATATCTATATATATATAGAGAGAGAGAGAGAGAGAGATAGCCTTTCCACCAACACTGCAAATGATTAAATTAGCTGTTCTCTTTTAATACATTACCTGCAAATAACAAGCTGAGCTACTAACAGATAGGACAAACAACATTTCAAAGAAAATAAGCAACAGTGAAAAGAAAGAAAACTGGTAGCAGGAAAGACATGAGGTAAAGGAAACATAGGTAATTTGATAGAAAATTGTAATTGATTGAGATAGAACGTAGGCAAAACTAATTTCTTACCCTAATATTTTGAGTGGACATTTCAGGTGAATGTTTTCTAAGGACAAAATATTGTTGTTACTATGTATAATAATATAATGTGTATGAAAATAGCAAAGTTGTTAGGTGAATTATGTGTTCTCATTGACATTAAGAAGCTTATATTCAGTGACAGATCAGAGCTGAGTAGGACAGTTATGAGTGGTCGTAATTGTTATTATAGAAGAAGTCTGATTTCAAAAAGATGGCAGAAATACATTTTTCTCTTCTAATAAGTTTTTTTGTGCCTTTTCATCTTTTAATCCAACTTCTAAAAAAATTACAATGTATTGTTTTTCCTGTCAAGTCTGATACCCTTAGTAATTTCTTCAAATACATAAAAATAACATCTGTAAGACATAACACAACCAAAACAGGACAGTTTTTTTGTTCACTAAATATGTTCTATTAAACATTATTTTATATTTTATTTTTAGGCAAAAAACAGGTTTAAAAGAACTGGAATTTTTGAAAAAGCTTAATGATGCTGATCCTGATGACAAATTTCATTGTCTAAGGCTCTTCCGACACTTTTACCACAAACAACATCTCTGCCTTGTATTTGAGCCTCTAAGGTAAAATGTCAGAATGTGTAAATTAAATAGAAATTCATATAGCATCTTTTATTGGGCAGGACTTTTTGTTTTGTTTTTTTAGTATACTGAATAGAGTAGTGAAATTTCCTTTCTTAATCTAAGCAGTTTACATTTATGGTCGGCTCTTAATTTTTCTTAATTAAGAGCCCACAGTCTGGTTAGGTGGTCCTTTGAAACCTAAATATTTAGCTAACTTTTAGAAAATATTTAAACCAGAAAGAACAAGAGCTAGGAAAAGGTTGGGAAAATGTTTTCTTCTGAATCAGGTCTTTAAAATGTGATTTTGTTCTGGAATTCATACATTTTTTCAAAGGATCTATGATTTAATGTTAGAGGTACTCCCACTTTCTCTGCTTGTTAGTAGATGATCTTTATATAAGATGTTTCAAAAGCTTTAGTTTAAAACTTTACTAAGACTTTTGGGATACCCTAAATACCCTACCTGTCATGTTCAAGAGAGGTGAAATTCAAAACAAATGTCACTTGCCCCTAGTCACACAATAGAGCCAGGGTAATTTTCTTCCTGGTATAGTGGTATCTCCATTCTACTGTCACCTTTTTTCAAAAAAATCATTTCAATAAAATGGGTATTAATTCCTGTGATTGCACTCTTAAGTGGCCTCAGTGCTCTATATAGACCATATGACAGTATAACAACATCTTGACCCTATCACCATCGCCTAGTACTGCTCACTCCTCAAACCCTGCTTTCTGCTCTTCACTGTCTCCCTATCTCTGGGGTAAAGCCCTTTGTTAATAAGCCTTAGAGCTGCAGAAAAGGGGCCAGTCTTCACCTTTCATACTGCCCATTCTTTCTCCTGAATGCTGCTAAGGCTTATTCTCATTTTACACCACAGTGGTTTGCCTACTTTTCGCACCTTGTCATTGTCCTGGTTTGTTATCTTTTTTTTTTCCCAGGTGGCAAAGATTTATTATTACGCTTTTCAGCAGGCAAGGATTCTTAAAGGATCCTGCCCTGTTATCCTCTTGCCCTCCCCAAAGTGGATCTTTACCCAGGCGTTTGTTCTCTTAAGTCTTTCCTTGACAATCTCTTCTGTTAAAATTTTAGTTTTCACTCTGTACATATGCCTACCAGATACGTTTAAGTAGAGCCCTAATCTTTCTGCTTCAGTCTGTATTACTCACTAAGTTTTGCCTACTTCCATCTAAATGTCAGACCAAATCCAGATCATCATCTAAACCTGCTCCTCTTCCCAGAGTTACTTGTACTTTTGTCAACATTACCATTTTCTCAGTTGCTTAGCTTTGGAATTCTCCCTTCATCCTTCCCTTTCCTGTGTTGTCAGTTACCAAGTATTTGTTAGTCCCACATGATTTTCTCACGTGACTCTTTGCTTAGGCCTGCTTGTGCCTGTCCTCATATAGCAGCAATCCAATGGGTATGCCTAATTTCTGTCCCCCTCTCCAGTCCATCCTTCTCCACAAGCTGCTAGTATCATCTGTGTTTCACCCAGGTCTGACCATGCCACTCCCCTTTCAGCAGCAATTAATTATAAAATGCAAACACTTTCCTCAGTCAGATTTGAGTTCACTTTTCCAGCCTTATTTCTATGTTCTGGCCAAAATGTTCCTCCATCTTAACCTGCCCTCTTAGAACTTAGTATATTTATGTAGGCAATCTCCTGTACCTGAAATGATTAAAAAAAAAAAACTTTGTGTGACCCTGGACAAGTCACTTAACTCTGATTGCCTCACCAAAAAAGAAAAAAAAAGGAGGAAAAAAACACCTTGTGATGTTGGGTAATATTTTTGACTATGAAAGGATTTGGTAAACATATATGAGAGGAAGCCAATGAATACTTTTCAGAATAGACAAAAGCTAAATTTTTGTAAACAGATGGTTCAGTTATCCCCAAAAGTCAAGCTTTTAATTGGACTAATCACTCAATTCTTTTCTAATATAGAATGAAATTCATTGAGTAGAAGTACTTTCTTTTTAATCAGATATTGCCATTGTAATTTTAAAAAATGTGTACTTTTAATTTTATATTTATATCACACATTTTATAATCTGCTTTTTCTCCCCTTTTGTTGTAAAAAGTATGAATTTACGAGAGGTATTGAAAAAGTATGGAAAGGATGTTGGTCTCCATATTAAGGCTGTAAGATCCTATAGTCAGCAGTTGTTCTTGGCATTGAAACTTCTTAAAAGGTGCAACATCCTACATGCTGATATCAAGCCAGACAATATCTTGGTAAGTGTAATAACTTATATTTCAATAAAAGTGGATTTACTGTTTTCATAATAAAACTTACTCTCGAACATATAATTCTTTATTTTATTGAGCAAAGTACAGACTATGCCTCTAAAATAATCCCTTTTTGAAAGAAAAAAAGTATATATAAATACTGAAAAGTAATACTTATCGTAGGCTGCATTTGGATTGTACGCAAATCATATTTCCTGACCAATGCAAATATTCTCAAAAAGTACATTATATGAAAGAATAGAAGTAAAATCTTGATTGGTACAGATAATTTATCCTATTTGAATAATGATATAAGAGAACATGACATTGTTCCATGTTTATTAATTTAAAGTAGCACTTATTATGCCTCATCTTGGCATGGGGGTGATCATGAGTTCAGAAAATCTGTGCTTGTGTCATAATACATCCATCCACCTGGCAGGTTTTACTGGGAAAGCTTCATTATTACAGATCCAGAGGCTATCATCGTAGCTGAATGCAAAGAGGCTTATCTCTAAAAGCAGCCATGATGGCTTTCTGCAGATGTGTGAAAGGGGGTTATGAGTGGAAGAGAGTAGTCATAATGATGTAATGAAGTATCTGGAATTAGCCACAGACCTCAAGCATATGTAACAATAGCTACCATTTAAATAGTGCCTGCTATGTGCCTATTGCCATGCTGAGTCCTTTAGAAAATTCTCATGATTCTCACAGCAACCCTGGGAGGTGGGTTATTCTCCCCATTTTACAGTTCAGAAAACTGAGGCAAACAGCAGATAGGTGATTTGCTCAGAGTCACAGCTAGTAAGTTTCTGAAGATGGGTTTGAATTCAGATCTTGACTCCAGACTCAGTATTCTATCCACTGCACCACCTAACTACCTCTGCTTAGGCTACATTATAGCTGTTGTCTACGTCTGGCTTCTCAAATTACATTTTGTGGGGGTTTTTTTGTTTGTTTTCTAAGGTAATAGATAATCGTCAACTGACATGACTCATAGATAGAACAAATAACATCAAAATTCTTATCCATGAGCTTTGTCCCACACTATAGTTGCTCTGTTACTTAATTCAATTCAAAATAACCTGATGGGCAAGGGGGGAACCTAGAAACCATTTTTCTGTTATGTTAGCAAGTTAGTGTTTCCCAGGAATATTGCTTAGCAGCTCTACTGTTGCTGGTAAACTTTTTTTTTTTAATTAAACATTGCATTTGAAAGGGATCAGTTCCTTTGGACCTGTGAGCAAGTCATTTCAATTATCTAGGCTTTAATTAACCTCATCTGTAAAATCAGGGTTTGGACTGCATGACCTCTTGTAACTCTGTTAAATCTGTTAGCCTGTAAAGATTTCTCTTGCTGATTTTCTTTTTCTTTAATTTCAGTATCAGTATTGATTTAGTGGCTTTACATTACTACTTGCCCTACAGATTTATTTTTCAAAGAATGCTGTTCCTCAAGGGCCTGGGCTTGTAGCTTCCTAATTTCTAGTGCTAATTTCAAATTCCCACAATTTGAAGAGGTCTTACCTACTGTGTTTAAAAATTTGCCATTGTGTCCTCAGTATAAATTCCATGTCCTACAACTTTGTCTTTAAATATGTACCTTACTATACCATTCTATTTTCATGATCCTTAAAGAAAGAAGTATTTTAAAGCATATTGTTTTGTGACCAGTTTTGATTGTGATAAAATAAACTGGTAGGTACCTTAATATTTATTTAGAATTGAAATCAAAAGACGTGCTTACATCTTACTTAGGTCAAAGTAATGAAGTAAACTCATTTATAGTTAACTATAATTCTATACAAATATTATTAACTATCATTTTAATAGAGGAAAAGCTTCTTTCTTAAATATTAGATACTTGGGAAAAGGTATAAGTGACTTAAGATTTCCTTTTTCCTACAAAATCTTTTTACTGTTATGAATCTTAACAATGAAAAGTAAAATAAAGTGCTACAGTACTAGGCATTTTTTAGATTAAAGAGATTTGCTTAGTCAACTTCAGTCCTGTTTTGCAGAATGTTCTTTCTGATCATCTGTTTTGGTAGACAAGCATGAGTTCTACCTTTCAAGCTTTCATATGAGATAATACCAAATATGGATTTCATTTGGGGTGGTCCCTTTGTTTATTTTCCCTTTATTACTCCCAAGAAAGAAATCAGGCCTTAAAGAATGAGGATTGTAATAAGGCAGTGAGTTCAGCAAAAGGCTTGTCATTTTGGTGAATGACTAATATATACAGAAAGGGAAGCTATGGCATATATCTTGACTTTAATGGTGTCAAATGCCATGTGGTATTATATAATATAAACATCATATGCATTTATTTCAAGAAGTCTTAGTGATTCCAAGCAATTCACTGATGACAGATTGATTTGAAAATTCTCTTTAGAAATTCATTTTAAGCCACTGACATTGCCATATTATAATATCTCCTAGAAGTCAAATAAAACTGATGCTTAAAAATATTCTTTCGCTTTCAGTGGCTTCCAGTTTCAGAAGAGTTATTTGTACTTTGCCAGTAATCAAACTGATAGTCTCTTAAGTGAGTTTACTCTGGCATCATTTCTTGAACAACTGCCTATATGCTGGTGAATAATTGGGCATTATATTTGTATGTCTTTGGGGTGGGGAAAGTAGCCTGAGTTCAAGTCCCAACTCAGAATTTGTGTGTGTCTTTTTTAAAGGGGGGAAGGGACTCTGGAATGTGAATTATCTTCACTTGTTAATCCTGATCATGCTTCTGACTCATGAGTGGCAGCAGTCATGGGAGCAGCTTCCAGCCTTTCTCAGCAGATGTCACTGTTACTGTGTATGTTGAAATATTTGAAAAGGGAAGAAAACAAATGACTAATATAAAACTCATATTTATATTCTTAAATGTTTTCTATTTTCTTGACTAATATATGGGGGGAGGATGTTTTTCAAATTTATTCCATCTTTTCCCAAGTAATTTCTATAAATTTGAATATTCCAGCACCTTTGGATGAAGAATACATTTTGCCATGGTATAATGATTCTGCCTTTACTTTCATTGAAGTTACATCAATAATTAATTTCTTATCCATTTAATATATAGCAACTACTAATTCAGGGAAAATTTAAAGACCTTAGTGTCTGGGTTTCTTCTTTCTTGTATTTTACAGTATTTAGAAAAATGGAATTAAATAACTTTGCCCGGCATAACATCATTGAAAAAACCTCTCTTAATAAAATATAATCAAGCGATAAATGTTTCTTTTTAGATTATTCAATAGCACCAAGTAGAAACTTAGTTTAAAATGAAGTTCTGTGAATGTGTCATCCTAACTTTCCAGTGCTCATGTGTCGTGTTTTGTTTTAGTTATCCATGGATCTAGCAACATTTCTTGATAATGTTTTGCAGGTTAATGAATCAAAAACTATTCTAAAACTTTGTGATTTTGGATCGGCCTCACATGTTGCAGATAATGACATTACACCCTATCTCGTCAGTAGATTTTATCGGGCTCCTGAAATTAGTAAGTTTCTCCAAATGTCCTTTTGCTCTGGGGCCATCACATGCTGTGGAAACAGCATATTTAATTTCTAAGTACTGTTTTCCATCGTACTTCAGCAGCTGCTCGAGCTCATTCATGAGGAAGGGAACCGTAGCAAGTTCAACCTCCTCAGTTGGAATGATGGTAGTTGTGACAGGAGTCTTGATCATGTCGGGCAAGAGTAGCAAAACAATTGTGGAAAATCCTCGACTTTAGAAGACTGCTCTTGATTATTCAAGGTCTGATTATCAAATTTGTGGATTATCTGGGACCTTTACTTTTTCTCCTCCCTCCTGTTGGCCTGTATTCTGACTTTATTGTTCATTAGCACCTCTGCCAGAGGTGGGAATGGAAAAGGAGGTGAAAACATTTTTGCTGGGTTTTGTTTTCTTTTGTTTTTGTTTTTTGTTTTGTTTTTTGTTTTTGTTTTTAGGTTCTCTGTTAAAAAGATTTGGTGGGAGAGAAGTTCAATCAAATTATTAAAATGAGTTTTGGGAGTTATATGTCTTTATTTTCCCAGGCTAACCTTGATTAATATGAATGATTGAGTTGTATTTCATTATTATTATTACTATTATTATAACCACTACCTCATTGATTTTTAAATTTAATTTTATTAAAATTTCTTTCTGTTTCAGTTATAGGAAAAAGCTATGACTATGGTATAGATATGTGGTCTGTAGGCTGTACACTATATGAACTTTATACTGGAAAAATATTATTTCCTGGTAAAACCAATAATCATATGTTGAAACTTGCGATGGACCTCAAAGGAAAAATGCCAAATAAGGTAAGAAGTGAGATGTATTCTTTCTTCTCCCCCACTTTCTTAAATGGTCCTCAGTCATAATAACTTTAGCTTATATGTGAAGAAAGACTTACGGTAGCTGTAGCAAAATTTAGGTTGGACAAGTTAAGAGACCGAATCATATTTCTTTTCTGCTGCTCCCTTTCCCCTCCTCCCTTTTACCGTTGTTATCTTTATGTACTAATTTTAATCCAGTAGGAGAATGAGCAAGGATGAGATGGCTATTAATGCCAGAGTAGCTATATATGGTTAACAGCTTATTTGTATTTATCCCCACACCTCTATTTTTTATCTATCTACTTTTCAATTGGTACATATGTCCCCTTCCTCTGGATTTCAGCTGAAAAAAAGAACTGGCAAAGCATGTGATAAACTGGAATCACATGTAGTAAGAAGTGAAAGGACTTTGAGCCAGGGTTTGGAATGATTTGGGCAGTGGGGAGAAAGGGTAGCAACAATTGTATTTGGAGCTCAGTATGGTTACTGCTAATGGTAAAATACTTCAGAATTTGTTTCCTGTTTGTCTCTCTCTTTTCCTTTAAATTGTCACTTGGTGATTTGTATTAATAATACAGTGAGAACGTAAGAAGGGTGGCTAAAAGAAGGAATTGGTGGATGTGCCTAGAAAGAACATAAATGAATTTATTCAAGAGATGGGAATTTAGTTTTGAAAGGTAACACCAAAAAAGTTTTGGTTAAGGAGGAATGGGAAGATGTTGCTGAGAGGCAGATTTTGTCTTGATAGAAGGAAAAACTTCAAAACTGGAATTGGCTGACTTGCAACTTGCTATCACTAGAGGTTTTCATGCAGCATCGGGATGAAAACTATTTAGTTGCCAGTGGTGTTACAGCAGGGAGTCCTTCTATTCATGTGTAGGTGGAACTTAGCTTAGATGGACTCACATTTTCTTCTATTTCTAAGGTTCTGTGAATAAGGATGAAGTTGTTGATTATGAAAATGATAACTTGATTGGAAAAGATTTTAAAAGGGCTCTTTCCCATTCCTCCATCTTCTGAGCTATAACTAGTTCTAAGAGACTATATTTTTCTGTTATAACAAGGATTGTTTGAAATAAATAGGCCTCTTAATGGACCTTGTATTTTTAGTCCTGCAAGTGGCATTGGTGATATTTGTTGCAGTGGAACTTGGCATATATCATGAGAGATGTTGGAGAATAATTTAGATTCAGAGATTTACTGGGTTTTTACATCTTTCTGGTCAGTAGACATTATAGAATATTCCTATGGTGTTCTAATATTTGAAATAATTGAATAAACGTACTGAGTGACAGTAGAACCAGGTGCTTAAGGTTACATGTAAAGATGAATGAATGGTAACTGGCCTTAAGCAACACATTATGATATTAACATGTAATATTATATGTTATCTTATTACATGTTATGATAATATAATATTATAATTAGAAAATTACAAAATTTATTTTCTTTAAACAAATGGGTGATGATAATAGAGAAATAGCAACCAACTTGATCTTGGGGAAACTAAGAATATGCATCAAGTTAATAGAATTTCTTTGTGTCCATTTGGTTTAGATATAGCATTTAAAATTAATTTTTTAGAAGTCATATTAAATATTTTAGAACTTAGAACCTTAGGATTATCTAATTCAAGGGCTTCTTAAACTTTTTCCACTTGTGACCCCTTCAATGTTTCTTAAACTGTGGGTTTAAACTCGCAGTTTAAGAAGAGCTGATAATCCAACCCTGCTCCTTTTACAGATAAGTGAATGAGCTCAGAAGTAAAGTAATGGCAATCAGTGACTTGTAAAAGGTTAAAGTAGGTCTTCATCTCATAATAATCCAAATGTAATTTTTGTTTCAGATGATAAGAAAAGGTGTGTTCAAAGATCAACACTTTGATCAAAATCTCAACTTCATGTACATAGAAGTAGATAAAGTAACAGAAAGGGTAAGTATTTTAAATGTACTATGCTAAGCAGTAATCATTTCTAAATAATATTACTTGTATGTGAAACAATGCCAGGAATTATGACTAAAAATAGCTAAAAAATTCCATTTCTGTCACATATGATAGTTGTATTTGCATTTGGCCTGATTCCACGTGAGTCATCTGTCTCTCTCTCTCTCTCTCTCTCTCTCTCTCTCTGTCTGTCTCTCTCTCTCTCTCTCTCTCTCTCTCTCTCACACACACACACACACACACACACACACACACACACACACACACACACACACACAGTGCTAAAACACTAGGGAGCTGTCTATGGCTTTCTAGAATAATTTTCTTTTTAACCACAGGCTATATATAGTACTTGACATACATTGTTTATTTGTTTCACAACAAACAGCCATATGAAATTGATAATTATGCATATTGTCTTCATTTTACAGATGAGAAAGTTGAGGCTTAAGAGTTTGAGTGATTTGGTCACCATCACATAGCTAATGTCATAGGTGTACTCTAAGTCAGTTTGAGGCTAAGAGTGAGGACTTATATTAGATTGGCTATCCCAGCATCACTACTTTTTGAAAGCATAGATTCAACATTCAGTAATATTTACTGGGGTTTTTTTTACATCTTTCTGTTCAGTAGACATTATAGAATATTCCTTTGGTGTTCTAATATTTGAAATAATTGAATAAACATATACTGAGTGACAATAGAACCAGGTGCTTAGGTTACATGTAAAGATGAATGACATGGTAACTGGCCTTAAGTACCATACAAATCTAGTGGTTATAGAATAAACTTTTTTAAGATAAAGAATTTTTACTGTTGTACATTTAGAATATAACTCTGCTTAATTGAGCTTTACCATTTAAGTAGTTTTAATTCTTCATATTGCCTTTTTAAAAGAGTAAATAATAAAAAGGGGCAAGCTGAAGGACACACAGTAGAGGGGTTTTTTTTAAATATATTTTGACTATGAAATAGTCTGCATTTCAGTACCGAATTTTTTCAGTAATTTTGATGCAATTATAAATTTAACTGTTTTTAGGAGAAAGTTACTGTCATGAGCACCATTAATCCTACCAAGGACCTCTTGGCTGATTTGATTGGGTGCCAGCGACTTCCTGAAGACCAACGCAAAAAAGTACATCAGCTAAAGGACTTGTTGGACCAGATCTTAATGTTGGACCCAGCTAAACGAATTAGCATCAACCAGGCTCTACAACATGCCTTCATCCAGGAAAAAATTTAAATGAGATGAAGAAGCTCAAAGGGTTTGAGTAATTAAAATACAAAGACTGAAGAAATTTCACAGCAGATTATTAATGTATATAAACTTATAAATATTTCCCCCGCAAATTGAGGAAGCATGATATATTTGAATTAACACCAAGGCTGATATTTCTTTTAGAAATGTTAGAGTAAATCTGTTTGTGTCTTATGTGAAAATTTTCACTGTAGAACTGTTTTAATTGCTGAGACTGCACACAAGTACAGTGCTAATGTAAATGGTTGCAGTTCACATCAAAAGAAAAAAAATTCTGTTATAAAATGAACAGTAATACTGGGTGGATGATTGGTTTTTTAGCAGACTTGGCTTCATTTTTGTCTTTAAAAAAAAAAAAAGGCCAGCATAAATGCTGTTTATATTCACGTTTTCCTAGGTGTGTGTGTGCAGGCCACAGCAGCATGCCCTTGGTGTAGTCAGTGCCGAAAGGGGTCTGTTCCTTCTTGAGCCTGCCTGCAGGGATGGTCTCCTCTTTTAAAGCAGGTTGTGTACAACTTTCAGTACACTGAAGGTAAGCTAAACCATCAACATCACTGGTGTTTTAAGATGTTATTTTACTGGAACAACTGGCAAATGAGGGACAGTAGCTTTGTGGCAGAATTCCCTGCATGTTCAATAATTGATCTTGTTTTATTTTTTGGCATTGCAACTGTGGCATAGTTACAACTTCTGTTCTGTTCATCACATTTAAAATTTGGAGAGTATGCGCTTGATGGGTAAAGCGCCTTCAGTGTACTGTTTCTTATTACTTTAATTTTTTAAATCAACTTGCTATAGACTTTGTATACATTTTGTTAAATACAGTTCCCAATGACATAGTACCAATACTTACAGTTTTCATTTACTAATTATAAATGTTGGGGTCTAATTCTGAAAGTCCTCATTTAAAAGTTAGATAGACAACATAATGAAATTTTTAACTATTTGTATGTCATTTTGAAAGTGTACTGCTTTATGGTAAAAGTGTTTCATTTGTTCATTGTTTTCATTATTTGTGATCATGTTGTCTTTCAATACAGGCATAAACCTTCCACTCTTGAACAAAGCAGCTGCTTTTTAAAAGCGGTAATTGCTTCTTTACCTTTTATTTCTTTTGTAAATGAAGCTTTTCTTTAAGAAATGTGACTTTAAAGTGTTGTCTATTACATAAAACAGTTGACACTCACTTATTGTAAAGTGAAGATTGTTCTGCTGCATGTAAAGTGGACCATGCAGATTTCTGTATGTTTTCAGTATGCATCATTAGATAATAAAGTCTTTTGTGAACAAGGCATTTGTAGCCATTTTTAAAAGTTTTTGTCTCCACTGCTGGTAAGTCAGATAATCCATAAAAGTTGAAAGCAACCTTCCATTTTTCTATAAATCCTTTATTTAAAGGGATTAGTAAAGATGTGAATCTTGCCAAGTTCATGTGAGGCAAATAATTAGAATCCTAATTATTTTCATAAAATCCTACCAATACTGTGAGCTTCATTGTAGTGCATTTTTTTCCTGTAGGTTCTGGGGTTTAATTCAGGATATAACTAATGTTTCTGCTGTTTTCTCACTTTTCCTTTTGATGGTGCTGAAAGAGAAAAAAAGAAAGCGGGGCACAGGCCATTCAACGCCTTCTCCAGGGGGCCTGATTTGCTGAGACTCCAACTTCACCTTCTTAACAAGGTTATTTCTGACAGCATGTGTAGATAAACGTTAGCAAAAAGTTAAAAGAAAATCATTTAAAATCAGTTTGGCTTTTCAATACCAAGAAACAAGAACTTAGTAAAACTATCAAGTATAGTCTCCTTGTATTTGTTGAGCAATAAAAATAATTACTTGTTTACCTAACAAATATGGGGGAAAAATCACCTTTTTTAGTTTAAAAATAGTTTAAGAAATAGTAAATGGGTTTTTTTTTTGTTCACCTAGGCACGTAATTACAACATACATGCACATTTGGTGCATTCAAGGATGGAAAGTCAGAACAGCAGGCATTCTGCTGGTGGGTTGTGCCCCATTAAGGACATGAAACTACAACAGGCAGGTGATGGGTGATGTAACATAATTTGAACCTACAACCTGTCTCTTCATAGTATAGCCCTTAAAAATTATTTTAATTTTTAAATTATGTCATTTTAAGAGAAGCAGAAATGCAGCTTTTATATCATGGACTACTAGCTGTAGTTCTTCCAGTGTCCTTTATTTTACATAGGTAATAACATGCTGCACATTTGAATTTTCTCATAACAATTCCCTACAGATATAATTTGATGCTTCTGCTGATTTCATAGCACCATTTTACGTCATTTATTTAGTAATGAAATGTGTTAACATCCACTAGAAACACTTCACCTTATACCTTCAAAGCATATTAACTATTCCTTAAAAACATAAAGTTGCTTGTTTACTTGTTCTTTGTGTTGTAGGTGCAGCTCAAGGAAGATGATGACAACCAGAAGAGACATGAGCTAAGGTTTCTGTCCTATAAAAGATACAAAAAATTCTCTCCATTTAGTTTTGTCTAATTTTTTAGTTTTCAGCATTCCGATTTAGGTTTCATGTTTTTGTATTCTTGATGATTCCTAGAATAGTACTACTATTGTGACATTCATCTGTAAGGTGTTCATGTTTGATGGTTGTGCTTTTTCTTTGTTTGGAATGAAGGAAGAGCATAAAATGGAGCAGAATTGTGACCCCTAAGGTCCAGTTCTAAATCTATGATTCTGTCATTTGAATTTTTTCATTTAAAGTCATTTATATTTTTTGCTTTTAAAAGGCAACCAGTAATGAAATTATTTGTATAAATTACATATTTTTAAATTGTAACTTAAAAATTATTTTCTAAGAATTATTGGGGGGAGAGAAGGGAGAATCAGTTACCAGAATCTATCTTCAACTAGTCATTAAATAGTTAAGTTAGGTGCAATGGAGATTAGCAGACAAGGAGAGAACTTTACCTCCTAGTAATACTTTATCTTTAATAGTCTTATTTTATGAAAGTACTCTATTAATGGTCTTGAAATTTTCACACAGACAGGATTTTCAAGGGTTTTTGTTTCTGTTCCTTCACAACTATAAATTCTAAATGGATAAGTAGTACTGGGTGTGAAGAGCTTGGAGACAATGGACATCTTAAGCTTTTTTTATTTCCCGAACTTAGTGATCGAAGAGGGGTTTAAATTAATAAAAATAGTGAAGCCTCCATTTATGAAGATCTTGTCCATTTCAAGCTCCTGCCAATCCCTGTAGTTAGGCTTAATTTACATCTTCAATTATGGCTATGCTGACTTCCCTAATGACCCATTTTTCAGGCTAATTTTAAAAATCACAGATTTTAGAAAATGATGTAATATATATTATCTACCATGTTCTTTACAATTAAGTAGAGTTCAGGTTCTTGATGATTTCAGTAAATGGTCTTTGAACCTGGGGCAGTTTTATAGTACTGACAAATTAACTTCTTGAAATGTCATGTAGAAGACATCAAATTTGTTCTGTTTCATTCCAACATTTGCTTTCCCCATACTCTGCTTTACTTGTACTTTATTTTCAGAATACTTGATCAGAAGCACTGTGGCTGTGTAGGCTAACAATGAAATTTCTGTCATAAAAACAATCTTTTGCATAATACAAATTTAGGACAAGAAATATACTGTCCTTTTCATTGTTGGTGAAGAGGTATAGCTGCTTCCTTTTTGAGGCATATCATATGAAATTAGAGGTGTATGCAGTACTACTTTATACCAAGTGCCTAACCATACTCTCCACCTGCCAAAGGCATGATTTTTAAACTTTTACTTCTCCTGGATGGAATGTACCATTTTATTGGAATAGTCACCAAGTTCATTTGTGTTTACTGTGTCATAATGTATTCTTAAGTTGATTTATAAGTACTCTGCAGTCATTTTTGTAGGTGAAATAGCATGCTATCCCTTTCTTAATCTCTCTTTTCCCTCCATGTATAGGGTAAGTGACTATTCTTCAGAAGAACCTTTTGCATTTAAATGATCAAGATATGGGAGCCTGTTCTCTGGAATGTTGAAGATACATCCTAACTATTTCAGGAAATATTGAACTGGAATAAGCATTAAGGAGCACATTTTCTTGGCTTAGTTATTGGTCACTTAATGAAATGTGCCACTTTTACTCTATAGTCTTTTTTCTCCTTCATTTTAGTTTGGTATTCTGTATGCCTTCAATTTAGAAGGATGATCTTCAAAAACAATTTCCAAAGTGGCAAGACATTGTCTTAAGTATTTGTTGTATGTTTTATTCCTTTAGATGATACTATTAAAATACTTGATTGTTTCCCACAGTAGCAAAAACATATGCTGTAATCTTAAAATTATTAATTAATAAAATATTTAGGTGTTCAAATATTGCTGTTTAGCTTTAGTGTCCCAAAACAACTTGCAAAGATACACTAAATTTTTTTATAGACCAAAATCAGATCATTACAATTTTTTTAGCATAGAGGAAGATACAGTATAAATCTCAAATACAAAAGTAATGCATATTTCTTCCACTAAAGGATACTAATTAGGCAAGAGAAAGAAGATTGATTTCAGCATGCTTTTGCTTTTAACTTTTTTGCTTTGATCTTGAGGTTGATGTATTTATTCTTTTCCTGACTGGTCTTAAATACTAGGAGTGCCATGGAAAATGCTAATAATTATTCCTTTAGAAATTAGAAATGGGCAGTTTACAGCCATGCTTGCTCAAAAAGCTGGTTACATGAAAGTCTGGGGATTCAAAAGGAACTTAATCTACAGTTTATTTCCTACCTTCCACCCCAAAACTATAATGAACAAATTTCTCATAAAAGTTTTTGAGAATTTTATATACTTCAACTACAGTTAGAATTCACTACCTCTTAATTTAGACTTATTTGTTGTTTTCCAAATATTTTATTGTAGTGGGCTACTATAAAATTGTTATATAAAATTTGCCACGTTACTACTGTACTATATCACTTGCCATAAATATTTTGAGGCATTTAATCTTGTAAATCTGACAGCCCTATAAGTTTTAAAGTTAAGGTCGTCTGCTTCAGAAGGATATATTTCATATGTCTAGTCTTGTTTGCATGCCACTGAAATGAATGAAAAAAAGCAACTACTTACATATAGTAAGTAACATGTGAGGCAAGTAGTGTAGGATATCAGATGGGAATGGAGACAGGTAAAATATTTCCAAGTTTTATAAGGACACTTATGAAGACCTTGGAACCTCCCAAGGCTCTTTCTATTTAGTCTTGTTTTGAAATAGATTATCCAGTCTTTATTTTCTAGATTTGAATTCACCTATTGTTTTTTCTTGGGTCATTGTGCTTATTTACTCTATAGCTAATCAGGTAAAGGGCCTATGGGGAGCTCACAGTGTAAAAGCATTATATATACACTGTACTTGCATTGGAAAGAATTAGCTTTCAAGCAAGAATAATTTCAACTTTTTGGTCATTTAGCAAAATTTTATATTTTTAAGGAAGAGTATTAACAAGAAAGCATAACTGGATTTTTAAAATTTGAAGGACATGAAATGTAAGCTCTTTGGAACCAAACAGTACAAATTTGATATTTCTGCTTATATCAGTTTGAATTGTATAACATGGGTAAGAATTTATGGATTCAATTCTAAATAAATATGCTTCTTCTGAATATGCAATTTGTTTGTTTTTAAGGGGTGGGGTTGATGGCTGGGGGTTTGTTTTTTTGAGATTGAATCAAATGCGCTGAAATTATTGCTCTGGTTTCAAAATCCTTTTTACCCTTTTCCATTGTTGACTTCTAATTATGGAGAGTGGGGTTGGATGTGTAGGGAAGGGAGCTGAATGTAAAATAATTTCAGAATTTTAAATAGATTGATCACCTAAGCAATTATTTGAAGTTTCCTTTCCATAGAAATCTCTTAAAGTGTCCTGCAGCATAGGACAACAGGCATCTATTTATGAGGAGGGTATCAATTAGACATCGAGTGCTTATTTGTGTTAAGTACTGGAGATACAAAGATAAAATGTCAGTCCCACTCTCCAAGGAGCTTACACTCTGAAAAGAAATTGACATCCACACTACAAATAATGCAGGGAGGAGTGTCTGAGAAGACTTTTAAGTTGGGCTTTGATGGAAATTGAAGAGAGTTCAGTGGACAGATCAGGGGTATTATGAGTCCTACTTAATGTTTATATTGTTTACATGAATCTAACCTATTATCTAGGAAAGTTACATCTTTCAGAGGAATAAGAATGTCAGAATATAACTTGCCCAACACATGGTCAACAAGCATTTATTAAGCAGCTAGGTAGCAACTAAGTAGTTCTGTGAAGACTAATTATATTCTGTCCTCAAACATAACTGTGAAGTGCTCTGCAAACATTAAAGGGCTAAAATTGCTAACAGGGCCCATTCCCATTCTGATTGCCACAGGAGTTCTGACCTACTCCTTTCACCTGGGCCAGTTTGTCCCTCCCCAGGCAACCTAGTGAGCTCTACTCCTGGGGACTTGCTATTACTAATACCTCACTTGGTGTGGACACCCAATCAACTGATTGGATTAAGCCCTACAGAGTCTCAGACCTCAAGAGATATGCCAGCCTCTGACTCCTTGGTAGCAGGGATTATAAGCATATGCCATCATTCCCTGCTTGGATGGTCACATGTAAATAAAGGAGAGTAGCATAAGGTAGTGCAGCCCAGAAGATTTGGGTTCCTAGTCCTAGCTGATACTAGCTGTGATACCAGCCATATGTCCTCAGCCCCAGGCAACTAAGACTTAAGTGAACTAATGTGCTTTAGTTGAGGGATTTCACTTAAGAAGTTCACAGCCATGAAATTATAGGTCAAGACAAAACTACCTAAAATCCTACTCCAAAATCTCACTGTGGCATGAAAGTAACTGGTTTCTTGAAGGCTCTGACAGGCCCAGTTGGAAAGGCTAAATGGACCTAGATCACTGGCAGTGTGCCTAGACCTTGGGGTTAATAAAGGTTTATCACCAGTGTGTTGGCCAGAACAACTTAATAAGCAGTCCAATAAGGTATATAGAGGGGCTACAGTATGTGCTGTTAGGAGAGGTATCAGCAAATCAGTTATGTTTTAGAATGCAAAATAGGTTATGAAAATCATAACTTTGCCTCTATATTCTTTTAATTACAAAATCTCATTCAGTGGAGTTATCCCTTGTATTGCATTGCCTAGTGGTACCTATATTCCTTATAGTCAGGACAAAGTATAGTTTTCAAATTAAAATTGCTTAAGGCAATTTTGAAAGTCAAATTGCTAAATTTTATAAATTATTTTAGTAATTTTAAGTTTGCACGATACTTCAAATGAAGGAGATATAAAAGCTAATAACTCACCACTTATTACAAGTATAAGGACTTTTCTTGTCACTGCTGCATTTTAAGACTGGAAAAGACCCTTTGAGGCCTTCCTGTCTGACCTCTTTTATATGGCAAGAAGGCCTGCTACGCCATCCCTCCTGCATCAAGGATGGCCATTCAATCTCATATACTTCTTTTGATAAAGATACTACCTTTGGAGGCATTTTTGCATAATTCTGAACATCATTCTATCTTACCTTATTCCAAAATCATATCTACTTATACTTTGTACCCTTTGGGTCTTAAAAACTAAGTTTAGAACCACCTAGGACAAATTTGCTCTCCTCTATATGACAGTTTCAAGTATTGAAAAAGTTGAAGTCTAACTGCTGAGGTTTAACATGTAAATTCATATATGATCTGGTGGAGCAGCAAGATACATGGGAGGAACATCAGAAATAACCAGGCTGTAGGTTGAGGGTAGGAGGAACAGAATTCAATTCAACATTGCTTGAGCACCACCTATGTGCAAGACACTGCCAAGTGCTATGGGAGATAAAAAGTCAAGTATATTATCAAGGAAAAATAGGGTGAGGTGGTCAGAACAAGGATGAAAAAAGTATGGAAATGTAGATGACTGGATAATGAATGTAAATGAGGTTTGCCAGGGTGGAGGAGAGGAAAGCAGAGATGGCTGACCAGGTTAAGAATAGAAACTGAAGGAATACAATGTTCCTTATGTTATAACTGACACATTAGATCCCTTGTCCATTAATAAAAGGAACTGACAGTGCTTTTTGCGCTGAAGGGAGAGAGGAAAAGGAGTGCTATGCTACAGCTGGTCTTTCTGCAGTTCTTTTTTTTCTGACATCATGCAGTAGTCACCTTTCAACTCCCCTCACCCCTTCCTTTTTTGAAATATTACAACCACTTGAACTCTACCTGTCCATCAAAACCAAAGCATATAGGAGACAAAAAGATGTCCAAAAAGCATGAATGAATGCATGATGACTTAAATTTTCCCCATTAGTTTCTCTCTTCTTTTCTATCCATTAGTTCACTAATTTATTACAGAGAAGAGCTTTAGATGTTCCATCCTTAGTTTCTATAGCATGGGAATATATTTTGAGCAACCTACAAAATATTCATCTGAACACTCCACTATTATAGAGGGTGCAAAGCTATAGAGAAAGGGAGACTGGTGGCTCTCTTTGTTGAAAGTGGAGTTTGACTTAGCACATTTTGCTCTACACTTGACATTTTCAAACTAGTACATTGCCATTTGAACCTAGTAGTGGATGCACATACCGAGTTTCATTTGTGTAGGAAAATGGCCAGTGTCAAATTGTTATTTTACACTTTTATCTTCTCTATAGAGGCAGTCAGGAGCAGTGGAAATCCTGCCTCTGGGAATTAACTAGCTTGTGTGATGCTAGGCAAATCACTCAACTTCTTTGTCCTTCAGTCAACTCTAGAGGACATTTCAACAGTTACTGAACAACATTGGTGGAAGAATGAAAGTGGATAAATTCCCACAATGACTAAGTCACAGATAGTTTCTTATTCCTAATGTCTCTATAAAACAAATTAACCTAATCTCAGATCTTTTTGATTTATCATCTAGCATCCTTTTTTAAAATACCTGACAAGGCATGGAGAAATAGTTTTCAAAGGGCCTAAGAAGTAGAGGCATTATTAATTTATCCCATGAGTTGATAACCTCTTTAGCTTTAAGTGCTATTACGAACCACCTGAACTCCATTAATGCATGGACAAAAGAAATTTATGGGAGAATGGAGGATAAAAAGGAGTATGTGAAAAAAGAAGATAATTGGAATAAGAAAGGAGATAAAAAGAAAGAAGATGCAGTCAAGGGGAATGGTAGAGTGCCACCAAAAACTGCAATTATAACACCAGTATATATTGCATATAATAGTCTTTTTCAATTATAAAGCAAATGAGTATTCCAATGAAATTAAAAACTACAGAATTAAAGTCAATTATCCAATTTATTGATGTTTGATGTAATTACACTGGAAAAGAGTCACAACAAATGGACAGTCTTTAAAATTTGGTTTACTTAGTGAAAATGTTTCTTGGTGACGAAACACAAAAGATTTATCAAATCTGTCATCATCATAAAAACTCCCAGATTTATATGAAGTACAAAGTAGGAATTTTCACAAGATTTATTTCACATAACTTCAAGTAATCTTTAGGGTTTTTTGTTTTGTTTTGAAATACCTGTTAACTGGGAGTGATAAATCAGATTTCAACTCGTTTGGTGGGCTAGGTTTAATCCCAGTGAGAATTAAGACAGAAAAAAAAAGGTTATTTTTGGTCAATGTGTGAGCACTTTTCACATTTAGCTGTAAATGAAGGAGATAAACATTGCCTCTTCTGAACATGGAGTGGTCTATTTACAGTTATATTTTTCCGACAAAGTTTCTTTTTGCTTCTGGATGGTTTACTTTCTTGTGCCTCAGGCAAACAAAGAGATAGGGATGATAGAGGTATTGAAGACTTTGGCTGCAGACATCTTGTTGAAACCATTTTAACCAATGGATGAGTTTGAGCAATGGAGTGGCTTGAAGTAGGTCTGGATGAAACTTCATGGCATGGATTTAAAGAGGAACCTTTGGAAATTTTAAAGTCATCGTAAGTAGCGATGATTTGTTTTGTGGTAGAAGAGCTTCTGATAGATGGTGGTCTGGAATTCCTCTTATGTTTACCAGCATTGTTCCAACTGCATTTTGAAGTATTCTGCTCAAGTTTGCAAGAATTAGAGTTGTTTTTTGTTTTTTCTCTACTTTTATCTATACATGCTGTCTGAAGGCACAGAAATTCAGGATATCTTGATGGCTTCTGTTTGGATGAGCCTTTGGATGAACTGGGGCGTTCAGTAATGACTTGAGTAGAGCAGCTGATTGGTATCTTTGGCCTCTCTTTTTGTATGGTCAGATGTTGTATTCTTTCCATCTCCAATAAACGACCTATCAACTGCTCAATGGAGCTTTCCATAGGATCTAATGCCACTTTCCAATTCTCAGATTTTGAGAAGGCCAGTTTGTGCAAGTCTAGAGTATTAAAAGGTGGAGGGAGGAAATCAGGATATGAAAATACTTCACTTGGCTGTTCCAAGAAAGATTCTTCAAAGTCTTCTATTACTTCTGGCTTTAAGTTCAGGTCCATTTTTTTAAAGTAAGTGAGTAATGTATCATTTACTTTTTCATTTTCTGATAAATCACTTTCATCAGTAAGATTTTCTTCCATGCTGCTGTTCCCATATTTTGCATTCCAATTTGAAGCAGATAAAGTTTCACCATTGTTGTTTTCTATAGCTGAATAAGAGTTACTCCGAGGCTCACTTTTCTCTTTACAAAAGTCTCCATCAGCATAAGGCCAGCAGAGACTTAATGGCATCTGTTGTTGCAATCCAGGGTAAGAACCAGTTTGTTTGTCAACTGAAGCACCTGTTAGTGAGTGGTTCAGAGTGAAGAGCCTTAGAGGATTATTATTTACATTAAAGCCAGTTTCCATTGAAGATTTTTGGAAATCCCTTTAAAAAAATTAATTAATGTTAGATTTATTTACTAGAGTTAGAATGTTTTAGAAATAAATACAGTAATATAGATAAGTAACCAAAGTTAAAGACTGAAAGTATCAATTCTGGATGTTGTATAGACACAGAACTCTATATAGAGAGAAATGTTAACTTTCAAAATACTTAATAATTGTCTGTGAACTAAATAACCAAGTAGTATTACAGCCAATTTTTATTTAAAGGCCAGGATTCTATTATTTTGCATAAATATGCAAAGTAAAATTATTATTTTCAATTATAACTAAACCTGATATTCAAGGCATGATAAATTATTTTTAAATTAATAAATTTAAGTTCATCCTAGATTAGGACAGATTAGAGATACCAAAAGTCTATATAGCCTAAAGCACCATAACCAGACCTAGCATCCTACCTATTGATAATGTTTGCACATAATAATAATAGCTCACATTTATATAGTGCTCTAAGATTTACAAATCCCATGAGGTAGGGAATATAACTATTATCCCCATTTTCCAAATGAGGACACTAAACCTCAGAAATGGCTTGCCCAGTTTCACACAGCTAGTAAGTATCATAGTTGGAACTAAAAATCCCAGGTTTTCTGATTCCAAAACTATTATCTTTTTCACAACACCAAGCCACCTTTATAAATTGCTATATAAATGTCAGCTATTTTTTATTAGAAGGGGTAATATTACATTTCATGTCTAATCCAAACTCCTGTGTGATCATAAAGGCCCCTATTTCACCAACTTAAATTTTTTGTTGTTTACTGACACACATGTCCATTATAGCCATTGACATTTGCTTGTTGCCCTAGAATCACAGAATGTTAAGAGCTTGGAAGATATATCAGAGGTCATATGGTACACTCTCTAATAGCTAATACAGAAATCCCCTATATAACAACCCTGAAAAGTGATCGACTAACTTGGGCTTAAAGATTTCCTCCCAAAGCAGCCCATTCCACTTTTAGATAGCTCTGGTTGTGAGCAAGATTTTCCATATATTGAGCAGAAACTTGCCTCTCTAACTTTCACCTACTGATTCTTGTACTGCATTCCAGGGCTGCATAATACAAGTCTAATTCTTCTATAAGTCTTTCTAATACCTGAATCTTTTCACTAGGCTTAACATTCCCAGTACTTTCAAATGATAGCCACATGACACGGTTTTGAATATATCCTTATGTTGGTCACTCTTCTTTAATGTCCTTGGGAGAGTCCTCCCAAAATGCGACAGCCAGAAAGAAACTCCTATAGATATGGCCTGACCAGGGCTATAATCCTCTCTGGAACATGGCAGAGCCTTTGCATCTGGTCCTTTGCACAAGCTATTATTTCTCTCAGCAGAAAGCAGAATTCCCTCTTTTTGCCTGTTGAGTCTCCATCATTCAAAATCTAGCTCAACTAGTCTTCTAGGAAGTATTCCCTAACTAATGTCTTATTTCAATCACTCTTATATGCTGCATGTGCTCAGCACTAACGTACAACTGATTACATACACCTCACTATATCAAGATAGAATATGATGCTTCTAAAGTATTTTAAGACTTCACACACACCCCTTCCCACGTACTTAATTCCCACTTCAGCTTTTAGTATCTAAATCACATTATTTAGAGCTGGAAAGCACTTTAGTAAGCCTAAGCAGCATGGAATAAAGGCAACAGTACTGGACTTGGAATCAAAATAGGTTCATTCAAGTCCTAACTCTGACATTTACTAGCTACATGATCATGAGAAGGTCACTTAACTTCTCCAAGCCTCAATTCCCTCATCGGTGAAATGCGAATAATTCCTATATTACCTACTCCACAGAGCTGTTATGAGTAAAGTGTTTAAGTATGAACTATCATTATTTAGTCCAACCCTCTCACATACAGATGAGGAAAGGAAGTCATGGGTTACCCGTCCAAAGTTATACAGCATGTTAATCCCACAGACAAAACTACAACCCAGATCAGGGATTTTTAAAATATACTAGCCTATATTTATGGATGTATCTGCTTTACTAATCCCAGAAGAAGTATAAGGGTAGGTTTTATAAGACATCAAGAAGAGAGGGACTAAAGTAATGTATTATATAATCACAATTAAGAAAAACAGAGTATAGCATTAAAAAAAATTTCTTGGTAAAAATGACATTACATCACTACTGCTAACTAAAAGTAGAGGCTTCAGAAAGGCAGATGCAGGAAATGAAAAGCTTCTTGAGAAAACTGGCTGAGAAAAGGATACAGAGTTTTGGAACATGACTGAAAATATTTAAAATGACTTAAAATGGGTCAATAAATACTGATGAAATACACATTTTCCCTTTGTTTGAATGGCTTTAAACTGGAAAAAGCAGTGGGGAGCCAGAAAACTGCAAATACAATACTTGAATAAGAATATTAGAGAGGCCCAATATTCAAAGGAATCTATATCCAAGAAAAGAACTGACAATGAAACCCACAGCCTCAGCTATTTTATAAGTGAATGCAAAAAATATGAGTAATTAACAGGGTGAACTAGAAACCCTGATGGAGACAAATTCAAACACACATATGCTACCCTAAAGACTGAGTGGGATTAGACTTATTACTGTAATATGAGTATGGAAGATAATAAATTCTTCTGTAGCCATATATCCAGACCCTACCACAATGCTTTGCACACTACTGTGTGCAACTAATGAACTGAATATCTGATTCGAAAGGAATAAAATAAAAGGAACCATAAAGTAGCACTGTATAATAAGAAAACAAGTGCAAGTGAGGAAATCTAGGAACTAGAGAAAAGAGGGAAAAACGGAAAAAAGAGATAAGGTGGAAAAGATCAAGAAAGAGAGAAACAGAAATAATACTGTTGTGGGAGTATATTACAGACTCCTTGGAAAGAAGAAAACAGACAAGAAACATCACAAACCTGGTACTAACCTGGAATATTTTAGTGAAGGAAAACTTTAATTAATTGTACATGTGCTACAGCAATCACTTCACAAAAATCTGCAAAAACTTAATTCTTCAAAATGTAAAGAAGGAATAAGAGAAGTTACAATGCTGAATCTGAATCTAACCAATAAGGAAGAACTGATTACTGATATAAAAATTATGGCAACTTTCAAAGGAAGTTGACCACTCTATCTTAGAAATACTGATGAAAGAGAAGAAAGCTAGACATAGTCTGACATGCATTATAGATTTATGGAAGACCAGATTTGAAACAGTTCAAAGAAAAGCTAGGTAAGTTCCTACAGTCTAATAATACATCAGTCCAAGGATAAGAAACTCAAGAATTAAATGTTTATAAAATAAATGATTCTGAGGGAAAAAGGGACAATTGTCTAAAAAGACAAATGTGCATAGATAAAAAGTTTATCAATCAGATGATGATGATGATGATGATGATTAGCTAGGCAATTGGGGTTAAGTGACTTGCCCAGGGTCACATAGCTATTTGTTATGTGTCTGAGACCAGATCTGAACTCAGGTCCTCCTGACATCAAGGCCGGACCTCTCGCCACTACACCACCTAGCTGCCCCAATCAGCTTATATTTTTAAAGACAAATAGAGGTAGCAGGGGCAGGTAAAGGAATTTGAATACAAAAATATGGCAAAACCCCATAAGAACAGTATCTGGAATACCAAGTCACAGAACAAATTGAGGCTGGTGAGGAAGACTAAGACCAATAAAAAAGTTTTAAAAGTTATGTTGGAGACTAAAGGAAGATCAAAGAAAAGCTAGGACTGCAAATGAGTGGGTAGGTCAATGATAGACAGTGATGAAAGAACACTCTTATTTTCACTACCAAAGAAAAAGAATAAAAATGGTTAACAGGAAGTTGAAACCCCAAGAGAAGTGAGATGATAAGAGTGCATCCAGCCATCTTCAATGAGTTCAAGTCACCAGGCCCCAGTGAACTAAAATATAATATTGAAAGACCTGGCAGATATGGTTGCTGAGTCACTGTCAGTGATCTTTATTTCCAATATGGCTTTATAGAATATCACAGATTTAAAACTGGAAAAAATCTCAAAGGCCATCTAGTCTAATCTCCTCATTTTATAGATAAGGAATTAAGGCATAGACAGGTTAAGTGATTTGCTTATGATCACAGAGTAGAAGCAGCAGGATTTACACCCAAATCTGTTGATTCAAAATCCAGCTTTCTTTATGCCATTCCATACAGCCTGTACTTTCCAGCAATGATCTCTGAAATACTGTGAAAACTCTATTTTGCAGAGATGGAGTATGACTTGTGTGGAATATTGAAAATACTGTCAGAAATCACAGTTTATGTTTTCTCACCATTTAAAATTCACAATTCAGAATGATTAAAGCAAAACAGAAACAGTCTTCATATAGTATTTAGTATCTGTCTGATAATCAGTCCCTATGTATTCTTTCCTAGCTTGAAAAATCATGAAAGTCTTGCTTTTTAACCGTGTGAGCTGAAAGAACCAACCTACAAAAGCCCATTGAGATTCAATTTTGCTAAAATCCAGCTCTTAGAAGAATGCTTGACATATAGTAAGCATTTAATAAATGTTTATCAATTGAACAATTGACTAAAATAGAACAGCAAAGTACTGAGATATCCTTCCTTGTCAAGCTTGACTCTATGACATCCAAGAATAAGAACCATCCACATTGCTCTTCAATGACTGAGCTGTCCCAGTCAAATAGTGATTTTTGCATCTAAAATTTTAAATTGCATCATGATTTATGAACACCAACATATTTTAATGGAAGAAAAATAACTGAGGTATTGACTGGTTTTGCTGAACTGCTTTTTAAAAAAATCATAGTAGAGAGGATTCTGGGAAGATGGCAGAGTAGGTCAAAAAATTTCAAGCTCTCAAGATTTTCCTCCACAAAAGAGATAAAATAGCCTCTAGGCGAACATAGAGCCATAAAAACAAATTAAAAGTAGAGGAAGAACAGGAGTCTTCACAGTACAATTGGAGAAGATCTGAAGAAAAATCCCAGGACCATATTTCCTTCCT